CTAGCCTTCTTCATGCTTGCATCTTGAACACAGTGTTTCTGAGACGCTCTAAAAAAAAAAAAAATCCAGATCTGTGGTGGCAGCATTGCTCGCTCCCCACCACTGCTCAACCACTCTTGCCATAATCCCTACCTAACTTCAGCTAAAGATAAGCTCCATGGCTGCTAATCCTTGGCGTCTCCCTAACTACCTTTCTCCAGTCTTCTGCCTCATTCATCTTGGTTTCTGCGCTTCTGCAAGCCCTGAGCCTGCTGACTCTGGTGACATATCCTGCCTGGCAGGCTTGGTGGCCTCACCCTGCGATCCTACGCCTTTGGGAGCGCCGAGGCGGGTGGCGATCATGAGGTCAGGAGTTCGAGATCATCCTCGCAACATGGTGAACCCCGTCTCTACTAAAAATACAAAATTAGCCAGGCATGTGGCTTGCCGCGCTGTAGTCCCGATAGCCTGCGCGAGGCCTGAGGCATGCGAATTGCTCGAACCCAGGATCGGAGTTGCAGTGAAGCGAGATCCGCTAAAAAAAAAAAAAAAAATCCATCCACCAGGCCCTGCCACACAGTGTAGAAGCGAGCCACCTGAGAGTGGATGGAAAAAGCCATTCAGGCACTCAGAACCCCAAGGCTGACCAAAGTATAGGCTTAGAGTTAGCCCAAACCTCTGGTGCAGAAACCTGTTCTGAGGAACTCATAAATAAAATGGTCAGAATCTTGTGCAGCCTGTAAGACTGTGGCAGGAGCCAAAGCAAGCCGGCCCCAGGGGTAGTCAGTGGGACCCCAGGAACCCATGAGGTGGTCACAGGCAGGAGAAACACAAAGAAGTCAAAGACACCTTCTGCGAAATCAAAGAAACTTTCCATGGGGACTTCCATTCTCATGGCTCATGGGGTCACTATGGAAGATGTGCTAGAGGTTTGTATTCCAAATGCATGCATACACTAAGCAAAATATAATGAGGAGTGCTGCTTTTTTTTTTTTTTTTTTAATAGGTAGCTAAGCTCAAAAGGAAGACAGAATCTTATTGGTTCCAGAAATAAGGAGGAAAATCAAAGCCACAGTGGTGGGAGCGGTGGGGACAGTGAAGTCAAGCTGCCTATGGGAATGCAGGAATCCCCTATGACTGGCATTTTAACACCCACATGGGGGCCGGGCAAGGTGGCTCACACCTGTAATCCCAGCACTTTGGGAGGCCAAGGTGGGTGGATCAGGAGGTCAGGAGTTCAAGACCAGACTGGCCAACATAATGTAAACCCCCACCCCCCGTCTCTCCTAAAAATACAAAAAATTAGCCGAGCATGGTGGCAGGCACCTGTAATCCAAGCTACTCGGGAGGCTGAGGCAGGAAAATCACTTAAACCCAGGAGGCAGAAGTTGCAGTGAGCCGAGATCATACCACTACACTCCAGCCTGGACCGTAATCCCAGCACTTTGGGCTTTGGGAGGCTGAGACGGGTGGATCACTTGAGGCCAAGAGTTCGAGACCAGCCTGACCAACATGGAGGAAACCCC